CCCCAAAACCCCAAAACCCCAAAACCCCATGAGGAACGTTAAAGCTAATTTGAATTATATCAAAAATTGAAATTATGAAATTATTTGAAAATTCATTGCATTCTTTTAGTTCCTTCTTTAGTTGACAATCCTTTTGCAGTTGCTGCTGTGGACTTAATTTGCTGATAGACATCTTGAGCTCTCTCTGAAATCTTTGGATTTAACTTAGATTGAGAGAACCAAAACAAGGTGTCAAGGTATTCATTCTACTCGTGCTTACTCATTTGCTAGAAAAGACCTCTTTTGTTTGCATCTTCGATCCATTCAATTTCCATTGCTTCAAATGCTCCACTTCTAATGATCTTATTGATTCTATTGATAACTTGGAAAGCAGTCTTATCCTCGAGCTGCTTCACTACTGGACCAGTTTGGGCAACTAATCTTATCAGATAAATATCATCTGCCTCCTTCATGGTCAATCTATAGGCATCCTCGTATTACTTTCTTTTCACTAGGTCTAGCACCTTATTCCAAATCACTCCTAATTTAGACTATCTGTGAGGAGATTTTTATCCAGTGTGATTAGCGAGTGTCTGAGCTTGATCTCTGAATCTTGGATCTCTTAAGTCATCTCTATAAATGAATAAAATTAACAAATGACTTACAAATCGGATCTAGCAAAGTCTCCAGCTCTGTTACCTGTATCTGAAAGGGGCCTAAATTTATTTAAATTTCTTAATTTTCTTTACTCTTGGTACTTCTCAAACTACTACAACTAATTACTGGCATTATCAACTCTGGTCTCAATATCTTCAATCTTATCACACATCTTTGCAAAGCCTTACTCCATCTGCTTTTGCATCATTAAAATCTACTGGGTTATCAGTTAAGCTGCTTAACTCGGGATCCCACTTGAATTTGTATTTGCAAGTCCACCACCCACTGTTTAAAGTGGTTGAGTAGAAAAAATTTGATTTGAAGGAGCAAGTCTCCCATTAGGTCCTGGGGCTCCACCTTAAGAAAGCATAGATTAGTGTGATAAGATAGATTAACCTTAAGATCCAGGTTGTGAGATTCTTTGAACCTAGCCAGGGGCTTGATAGATAGAGGGTAGTTAGGATTAGTTTTGAGAAAGTAGTTGATTTCCTTAGAGATTTGCCATTGACTTCATATTTTAATTCGGTTATAATTATTATTATTGTTGATTTTAAAGTGGGTATTATCCTGTTTTCAAATTAGGAATCTGCTATCCTTAAGATGATAAAATCTGTGATGATAACCCTGGGATTTAAGAGCCTGATCTTTAATTTGTGATATTTATTGGGTAAGTTTGTCCAGTTAAGCCTTAATTTCCATTTAGTAATCCCATTGAACTTGGCCTCTGCCCTTGGTTTTACTAAGATCCAGCAGCTGTATTATGAGGGTTCAAATTAGGATTAAAATTTTGATTAGTAGGAGATAAACTGTGCGATTAACTTCCATTTAACCCCTGATTTTAATTTCCCAATACTTGAGGGTTGAGCTGTAAACCTGGTCCTAAACCTGCAATAGACTAGCCTCTATGTTATAACCCAAGAGGATTAGACTGGGCATTAAGTGAATTAGATCCAAATGGTTTATTTAAAGCAGCATTTGAATTTAGTTGATTACCAAGGTTGTTTGGTAAATTTTATCCTAATAGTTATTGATTTGTGGGGCTTAATGGATTTAAATTCTGATTAAAACCAGCATAACCTCCTGGCTATTGAGTGTTTTAGGCTCTATTAAGAAGGGGATTAATATTTGCTGGTGGTTAACTATTAAATTGATTGCTCTCCGTTGGATTAATATTCTGATTTCCTGATGCTAAATTTTTTGGAGTTAGAAGTTGACTGTTTAAGCCTGGGAGTTGCTATGAAGATCCAAGAGAATTGAGTGGAGGTAATGCTTTAGGAATATGAGATTTCAGTTAGTCTTAACTTGATAAGCCTGGAAATTGATTGGTTTAAACCCCTGCTGGGTTTTGAATCGCTCCAAGAAGAGATGGATTAGCCAAATTTCTATTTTGAGGTGTGGTATTAGAAATAGGGACTGACTGTGATTGATTTACTCCTAAATTTCTTGATACTCCTCCTGGACCAGTATTATTACTTTAGCCAGGATTAAGTTCTTTCTTTAACTAGAGACTTCCTTAAATATTTTATTATGAACCTAGATTAGGAATACCACTTCCTAAATTGTTTTGTTTTACGTTCGGTATTCCACTCTATGATAAATTCTACTGCTATGATGGGGGCAATTATCCTAATGCGCTAAAATTACCTAAGCCAGAATTAATAATATTAGACTAAGGTTTCTAGCCAGGGTTTTAAAAATTGTTGTTATTAAGCGGACTTATCTGCTATTAATTTCCTAGATTGTTTAAGTCTTAAAGTCCAGATGTATTTATGCCTGCAAGTAGAGTTGGATTATTAATTGATTTAATGGGGTTGTTTACTCCTGGAAGAACACTCTGATTTGGTGCAATTTATGCTCCAAGCCTATTATTTGGCTGATTTGTAAGCGAACTAGCTCCTTAATTGGTATCTTATTTTTGTGGAGCAATCATGATCTTCCTATGAGTGTCTTTAAGATTTACACCTTAAACTTGAGGTTAATTCATATTTTAATTTGGGTTCATACTACTTTGCTAGTTTTATCTTAATTAGTTATTGGATAATGGATTGTTTGAGGAATTATTTATCATTGGATTTTATTCTGAACTGCCATCTCTTAGAGGGGGTCTGAAATTATTGTTCATTAGCCCTGGTTATTAATTAAGTGAATTTAGAGTATGAGATTTTTAGTTGCTCTTCTAGCCTGGTGTGCTCATTAGATCTCTGTCGTTGAAATCTGATTCGCAATTATCAATATCTGGGTCCTCCTCTTTTATCAAGGGCAAATCCTTTTCAATGTATGGAGACACTGCTCTTTAATTTTGCTAGTTAGGCAAAAGTCCATTCATGTTTTACTAATGGCTACTTTATCTGATATTTTAAGACTACAAATTATCATCAAAATTATTATTCTAACCCCTGATAGGAGATTGACTACTATTATTTGAAAGTTATCCAGGAATTAATTGAGATGGACTTCCTTGAGTATTTAAATTAGGCTAATTTGCTAATCTTTAATTTTAAAGATTGAAACCTTCATTTTGTCTGAGAGGTGAGTTATTTTATGATAAATTTTAAAGACCATTTGATGTTGTTACAGGAGAGGTAAATCTTTATCCATCCTGTGAGAATTGATTCTAAGCACCTTTGTAATTAGGTTGTAATGAATCCATAAGCATGTCATTTTCATAGGGCCTTATTCCACCTGGGGAGTTTTATAAGTTGCCTAAATTAGATGTTTATTAAGGCAGGCCTTAAGTATTTTGCTGAGTATTTCTTTAAGGCTGGAAAACTTGGTTCGAGAATTGTTACTTTTGCATCATAGGATTTTATTCTTAGTACGCTCTACCTGGACTGTGCTGAGCACTACTCATGTCATCTCCTCCATCGATATCTGTGGGATCACTTAAGAAATTTAGGTTGTTCATTTAATTCTAGTCATTAGTATTCATCTATCCTGGCTAATTCTCAGCTAAGAGCTTATCTTCGAGAAATTCCTTATGCTATTGGTACCTTGAAAGCTATGGATTATTTTGAAGCAATCTTTCTTGCTATTCTTTGAGTTTTTATCTCTGTTCATTTATCATTCTTGACTAAGTGTTGGGACTAGCATCAAATATATTTGGCTGTTAGAAGCCTTATCCTAATCCTGGTTGATTCGTGCTATTTGCATGGTTGAAATCCTAGTGCTCAGGCGAACCAAATTAAGATTGCATGCTCTAATTGTCCACAACCCTTTGATTACCCATTCTGTTAGGGCTGATACTGTTGCCTCTTGACTGATAAGGACTAATGCCGGATACTTATCCAAGTTGATTAGGCATGCCTTGAGTTCCTAGCATATTCTGATCATTTAAACCATCAAAATCATCGAACTGGTCCTGATTGAACTCTGCTACTCCAGGCTGATAGTTGTTCTAATTATATGGATCTTATCCCATTAAGTCATTAATTTGTCCTTATTTGAATTGCCTTTAAGCTTGGTTTTCATTTACTAACCCTCCTAAGAACTAGTTATTTTAGTTAGGTAATGATTCCGACAGATCCTACTAACTCATTGCACCTCCATATGAATTCTAGGCGAATTAGTTATCCATGCCAAATGTTCCTTTGGATTGATATTAATTGAAAGGATTTAAGTTATTTAATCCTTGATCTCCTCCTATCATTGATCCTTAAGATTAGTTTTAGTACCCAATGTTCGGCTGGAATTAGCCATTTAATGTTTATCTTTAGCCAGTTGTTGGCATGTGAGAATTAAATTAGCCATTATTAATCTATCCAGAGTGATCATAGTTAGAAAAACCAGGGATTGCTTAATTTCCTGAGAAATTGGGCTGTTCTTCAAAAATGTCATCATCAATTCCTAATTCTTAAATATTTTAATAAGGATTCATGTTATTTCCTAAAGTATTTTGATAACCTTAATTATTTGGAACCATTTAATTTATCATCTATCCAGTAGTTGGGTCATACACAGGCTAACCTTAAAACTACTGTTAGTTATGCTGATTTACTGGCATAAGTTGCTGACCCTAGAATTCCCCTGATATTGGGTCATAAACTGGCACAGTTTAGTAATTTTGCATCTAATTTTATGAAACTGGGACAATCTGCTGATCAACAACTTCTCCAGTGTCTGGGTCATATATTGGAATAGTCTGATATTATTGAGAAGCCTAGCTATCTTGAATTGGTTATATTTGCTATCTTAATTCTCCTGTAATAGGATCTTGGACTGTCACTGTTTAGAACTGTTACTGTTATTATTGATTACCTAATGCTGAGCCTGGTTAAAATTGATTCATCTAATTGTTGAAAGGTTGTTTTAATTATTAGGCTGGTGCTTGTATTGGAACGTCTACTACTTTTTAATCGATTACTTGCCCAGTCTAAGGATCTCTGATTGGTATTACTTGTTTCCTCATCGGCTGATTCAAAGGAACGACTTGCTAATCAATAACTTAGCCTGTTTAAGTATCATATATAGGGACTGTCTTGAACTGCTATTGCTAAGTTCCGAGTTAATTTTAATTGAATTGATTATTGCTAAGTGGAACTAATTGTTGATCTATTACTTCACCAGTGGCCTGATAATAGATTGGAACTGACTGATATTGTTAGCCATTAATAGTTTAAACGTTGCTATCACCTAATGGAACTTGCTGATAGTCAACTATCTAACCAGAAGCAGGGTCAATTATAGGTACAGTTTAGAACTGTGTGTTCTAATTAAAGTTGTTAGAGTTTTGATCTGATATTGGGATAATTTTATGATCGATTACTTCTCCCGTATTCTAATCATACACAGGGATACTCTGATATTTTTAAGTTGCATCAGGAACAGGTAAGACTTAATAGTCAATAATTTGTTTAGTTACTGGATCAATCACTGGTATCTCTTAATATTATTTTTATCCTGGAATATTGTTTAATTAAGATGCGTTTATCACAGGTAAAACTTTCTCAGTCAGCTAACCTGTTGCAGGATCTAAAGTCTATATCTTTTCCATCCTTTATTGCTACTTTGCCATTTAAGTTACTATATTGTTTTACTTTTGTACCATCTAAGTTCCAGTTATCTAGCCAGTTTGGGGATCCCTAATAGGAACTTATTAAAATTCCTACTATTGCTATTATATGGTTGCTACTTATCCAGTAGGCACAAGTTTGTGATCTATTATTTAGCCTGTGCTTTGATCTATGACTGGAATACTCTAATATTACTATGTAGGGTCTGGAACAGGCAGAACTTTATAATCGATGACTTGTTTGGTTATGGGATCAATAACTGGTACCTCTTAATATTGTTTTTCCCCAGGAATATTGTTTAGTTGAGATGCATTTATCACGGGTACAACTTTCTAAGTCAACTAACCTGATATAGGATCTAGAGTTTATACCTTCTCCATTCTCTATTGCTATTAAGCCATTTGAGTGACGATACTATTTTATTTTGGAACCATTTAAGTTCCAGTAATCTAGCCTGTCTGTGGATCCCTTATTGGAACAGATTAATACTCCTGTTATTGCTATTATAGAGTTGCTGGTTAACCAGTTGGTATCAATTTGTGATCAATTATCTATCCAGTATTTTAATCTATAACTGGAATACTCTAATATTGCTATGTGGAATCTGGAACAGGTAAAACTTGATAATCAATTACTTGCTGAGTCACAGGATTGATCACAGGGATCTTTTAATATTGCTTTTCCCCTGGAATGTTATTAAGCTGAGAAGCATTTATTACAGGCACAACTTTTTCTACGAGCTAACCAGTTGCTGGATCCAATGTTTGTACCATTTCCATTCTCTGTTGTTGTTAAGCCAATTAATTTACAATGCTATTTTATTTTAAGCTAGTTTATTTTGGAATAATTTAAGTCCCAGTGATTTACCCAGTCTGTGGATCTCTAGTAGGAACTTCCTGAAATTCTTATTATTGTTGTTACAAAGTTGCTTATTAGCCTGTTGGCACTAATTTGTGATCAATTACCTAACCTGTATTCTAATCAATGATTGGGATGCTCTAATATTATTGAGTTGAGTCTGGGACAGGCAAAACCTTATAGTCAATTACTTGTTTAGTAACAGGGTCTAAAACTGGAACCTATTGATAAGATTTTTCACCAGGAATATTATTTAATTGCGATGCATTTATCACAGGTACAACTTTCTCTACCACTTGCCCTGATAAAGGATCCAATGTTTAAACTTTCTCCATTCTTTGTTATTTTTTAGCGATCTAAGTTACTGGATTATTTTGTTTTGCAATCATTTAAGTACCTGTAATCTAACCAGTCTAAGGATCTCTGATTGGAACTTACTCAAACTACTGATTCTATTAAGATAATGAAGCCTTTTACCCTGTAGGCACTAATTTATGATCAATTACTTGTCCTGTTGCGTCATCATAAACAGGAATACTTTGATATTGCTAAGTAGAATCTGGAATTGGTAGGACTTGATAATCTATAATTTGTTTAGTAACAGGGTCTATAACTGGCACTTATTAATAAGATTTTTCACCAGGTATATTATTTAGTTGCGATGCATTAATCACTGGTACAACTTTCTCTACCACATGACCTGAAATAGGATCCAATGTTTGAATTTTTTCCATTCTTTACTGTTGCTTAGCCATTTATTAAACTGGATTATTTTATTTAGCAATCATTTGAGTCCCAGTAATCTAACCAGTCTGAGGATCTCTAATTGGAACCTATTCAAATCGCTAATTTTACTGTTACAAAGAAGCTTTTTATCCTGTAGGCACTAGTTTGTGATCAATTACCTATCCTGTAGTCTCATCGTAGACGGGAATGCTTTGATATTGCTATGTCGAATCTGGAATAGGAAGGACTTGGTAATCAATGACTTGCTAAGTTATAGGATCTATAACTGGAACTTATTAATAGGATTTTTCTCCTGGTAAATTGTTAAGTTACGAAGCATTTATAACAGGAACTACCTTGTCTACTATTTTTCCAGATTGAGGATCCAATGTTTGAATCTTTTCCATTCTTTATTGTTGTTTTGCTAGCTATGTAACTGGATTATTTTGTTTAGGAATCATCTATGTACCTGTAATCTGTCCTGTCTGCTGATCTCTAATTGGTATAGCCTCGAATTCCTAATTCTATTGCTATATTGTAGCTTATTGACCAGTAGGAACTAGTTTGTGATCTATAACTTAGCCTGTTGATTGATCGATAATTGGTATACTCTAATATTGCTGAGTAGAATCTGGAACCGGTAAAACTTAATAGTCAACAATCTGCTTAGTCACAGGGTCTATTATTGGTACTTATTAGTATGATTTATCTCCAGGTATATTATTTAATTGAGAAGCATTTATGACTGGTACTACTTTTTCTACAACTTTTCCTGACACAGGATCTAATGTCTAAACCTTTTCCATTCTCGATTGCTATTATGCAAGTTTAGCGGTGAGGTTATTTTTTTATTTCGGCACTTATTATGTACCTGTGATTTAGCCAGTATAGGGATCCATGATGGGAATACTTTAGAATTGCTATTAAGGAGTCGATGTTGGTAAATTTTGAACTGGGACAAGTTTATGATCTATTACTTGCCCTGTATTTTAATCAATGATTGGAATACTTTGATATTGCTAATTCCCATCTGGAACTGGTAATACTTGATAATCAATTATTTATTAAGTTACTGGATCAATTACTGGAACCTCTTGATATTACTATTCCCCATTTGAGGCATTTCCTGCACCAGGAATAGTGATTGGTACTGTCTTTTCAACCATTCTACCAGAGACAGGATCTCTGGTCTTGATTTTCTTAAATTTAGTTTTTTAAATAGGAATTCGCTTCTCGTGTATTATTCCTGTTTATGGGTCTTTCACTGGAATAGTAGTAAACTCTTATTACTGGTTATCAACCGGAACAAGTTTATGATCCAATATCTGTCCTGTATTCTTATCTACTATAGGAACACTCTGATACTGCTTATTAGCGTCAGGTACAGCTAGCACTTAATAATCAATAATCTTTTTTGTTATTGGATCAATTACAGGCACCTCTTAATATTGCTGTTCTCCAATTTAAACAGGATTAGCCATTCCAGGTACATTAATAGGCACCGTCTTTTCTATCATTTGACCAGTTCGAGGATCTCTAGTCTTAACTTTTCTAAATTCAGGCTTTGTTTCCTGAATAGGAACTATCTATTAATCAACAATCTAACCTGTTTATGGATCTCTGATAGGAACAGTTGTGAATTTCTTATTTTTCCTTTACTTGTTCTAAGGTATTGTCATATCAGCTGGAACTATCTTGTGATCTATCACTTAACCTGTCCTTTAGTCAATTACTGGTATACTCTAATATTGCTAGTTTTGATCTGGGACAGGGAGGACTTTATACTCTAGGACCTTCTTTGTAACTGGATCAATGACTGGAACTTCTTGATACTATTGTTGAGGTTATTATCTATCAAGGAAATTTTGTTAAGGATTTGAACTCACTGGTACTGTTTTCTCAATAACTTAACCAGAAACAGGATCAACTATTTTTACTCTTTTAAATTTTTTTGGTTGTTATTAGTTTTCATTAAACGGTACTATTTATTAATCGACCACTTATCCTGTTTATGGATCTACAATTGGAATAGCAGTGAATTTTTGATTTTATCTATTTTAATTAACTGGTAATGACATATCAGCTGGCACTATTTTATGATCTATGACAGCTCCTGTCTTTTTATTGTATATTGGAATGCTTTAATATTGCACATTTTGATCTGGAACTGGAAGCACTTTATATTCTACTACCTTTTTTGTTATTGGATCTATGACAGGTACTTCTTAAAATTGTTGCTGCTATTCAGCTGGATTTGTCTAAATAGTTTTCTCTACTATCTATCCTGATATTGGATCTCTTTACTAAATAGTTTAGTACTAAGGCTTTAAATCTGGAAGTGGTACTAATTTCTAGTCAACTATTTAACCTGTATAAGGATCTTTAATTGGAACTGATGCAAATTTCTTATTTTTCCTTTATTTGTTCTGAGGAATAGACATATCAGCAGGCACTATTTTATGATCAATAACCTAACCTGTTCGTTAATCGATTATTGGAATGCTTTGATATTGCTGATTTTAATCTGGAACTGGGAGGACTTTATACTCTAAGACCTTCTTAGTCACAGGATCAATGACTGGGACTTCTTGATACTATTACTGTTTTTAAATTTCTCCCATGAAACTTTAATTTGGATTGTTTACCTCCATAGTTTTCTCAACTATCTAACCAGAAACAGGATCAATTGTCTTTATAGTCTAGTATTAAGGTTCTGATTCAGCAATTGGAACTATTTATTAATCGATTACTTGCCCAGTTTGAGGATCTCTAATTGGAACTGTTGTGAATTTTTTATTTTTTCTTAATTTATTTTGAGGTACTGTCTTATCTACTGGAACGATCTTGTGATCAATTACCTACCCAGTTCTCTAATCAACAATAGGAATACTTTGATATTGCTAGTTTTAATCAGGAACAGGCAACACTTTGTATTCTAACACTTATTTGGTAACTGGATCTATCACAGGCACTTCTTAGTACTACTATTACCCTGGCAAAGGGCTGCTTACTGGATTTAAAAATTAGATTGCTTTCTCAACTAGCTGACCTGTATTAGGATCTACTGTTTTAATTGTTTGGAACTATTATTGAAGTTATTCAGCTGGAACAATCTATTAGTCAACTATTTAGCCTGTCTGAGGATCTCTAATAGGAATTGAAGTAAACTTCTTATTTTCCTTATAATTAGGATTATCTCTTCTCATTGGAACAAGCTTGTGATCAATGACTTGACCTGTATTTTGGTCAATCACTGGAATACTTTGATACTGTTAATTTTGATCTGGCACTGGAACAACTTTGTACTCAACTACTTATTATGTGACTGGATCAATCACAGGAACTTACTAATATTACTGTTATCCAGTTTTATTACCTTGATTTATTAAAGGTCCACTTATAGGCACTGTTTACTCAACTACCTATCCAGATATTGGATCTACAGTCTTGATCTTTTTGAATTTGGGCTGATTATTATTTAATCCTGTATTCGATATTGGAATAACCTTTTATTCGATTATTTAGCCAGTTTATGGATCTCTTATATCAACTGTGGTATATTGTTGATTCTGTTATCCAAAGTTATCTCCAACTGGAATTAACTAATGATCAATCACTTAACCTGTATTCTCGTCTATTATTGGAATACTTTGATATTGTTAATTAGAATCGGGAACTGGTAATAATTGATAATCAACTACTTGATTTGTAATAGGATCAATTACAGGTACTTGCTAATACTGCTATTATCCTGAGTTGAATTGTTAAGAATTATTGCCGCTAGCATTATTGTTTACTGGCAATATTTTTTCAACAACCTAGCCTGACACTGGATCATAGGCTTAAACCTTCTAAAATTATTGCTAGGGAGCTTGATTGCTTATTGTTACAGGAACTAATTTTTAATCGACTATCTATCCAGTCTGTGGATCTCTAATTGGAACTGAAGTGAACTACTTATTTTACCTATTCTATTGATTTTCAGGAATAGACATGTCAGCTGGTACAACTTTATGATCTATGATCTAGCCTGTCCTCTAATCATAAATTGGAATGCTTTGATATTTCTAATTTTAGTCTGGAACTGGAAGTACTTTGTAATCAATAACTTGCTTAGTAACTGGATCAATTATTGGAACTTCTTAGAATTGCTAAAGACCTGGCATATCTTAGGTGCCTAAGACTTCTCCTGTTGTAGGATCAATTATTGGATCAGTGTTTGGTTGAACAGGTACCATTTAGTAATCAACTACTTGCTTGGTCACAGGATCAATGATTGGTACCTGCTAATATTTCTAGTTTTGACTGTTGGAAGATATTGGAACTACTTTCTCAACTAGTTTCCCAGTTTTAGGGTCTACTGTCTAAATCTTCTAGAATTATTAGTTAGGTTTTGGAACGGCCACAGTTTTCTGTCCGACTACCTTTTTGGTGACAGGATCAATTATAGGTACTGTTTTATATTATTGCTACTGCTATGGAACAGGAATAGTTTGCTATCCTACAACTTTCTTAGTAACTGGGTCAATTATTGGAACTGTTTAATATTGTTGCTGCTAGAAAGGATTATCAACTGGCACTATTTAATCTACAACTTTACCTGTTTTGGGGTCTACTACAGGAACAGTCATAAATTATTGGTTATGATCTCCAAAGGATGGAAGATTTGCAACTGGTACCATCTTTTCAACAAGTTTTCCAGTCTTAGGATCTAATGTTTAAATTTTTTGGAATTTCTGTTGCTTATTGTTACCTTGATTCTAATTCCTATTATTTATACCAGTACTTGCACTACCTAGCCTTTAATTCAAGGCTTTTAGCTTTTGCTGTCTTTGTGAAGCTGAAGTTGGATTCCTTTGTCCAGGACGAAGTAGATTGGATATCTAACTTTGATCTACTTCAGATTAATTTCCTGGTGTAATTTAGCTTTCATCTATCTAAGGTAAGAAATCTTGACTGAACGGATTATTTCTATTAGGGCTAACGCTTCTTCCTCTGTTTGATTCTTATCCACCTACCATCATAAATGAATTTAGATCTTAAATTCGCTTGAGTTCTTCATATAGCTTTTTATCTTTACTAGCAGATGGTGAGAAATTTACTGTTCCTTTAAATAATCCACCTCCTTAACCTTTTCCTTTCTTGAGAAAGTCTTGTGCCAGCATTCTGTAGGATTGATTAATCTCATCGTTGATATTGTCATGCATTATACGAGAGTTAGCTGACTGAGCTCTTTACTATTCCCTTGTTTCTTTTACTCTATCTCTGAGCTTACTAATATTTATAAATTTCAAATTAATTGAGATACCTGAATTTATTTTGCAAGTTCTTTGCCATAAAGTTTGCTAATAGTGATTCCTTTTCTTTAGGATCAAGACTATCGTATATTGTCTAAAGCTGATTCCATGCTAATTTAGCTTTATTTCTTGATTCACTTAGATCAATTTGCTTTTCATTGTCAAGTGATTCCAAAGATTTCATCACATCTCCCTATTAAGTTTAAATTGCTAAGTATCTAAATTTACCATATATGAGGGAACAACATGAGCTGCACTATCTTTTAAATGTTCTCCAAGTATATTCAATAAATCACAAGCGGCTTTCTTTTAAAATACGGTTGATGCTTGCGAACCAATGACTTTTATTGAGATATTTACTAGTCCTTCTACGTGATCTTAGGCGACTCTAATGCCAAGAGTTTAAATAAGTTTGACAGCTGCTGCCAATTAAGACTCGTTATCAATTCGATTTTTCTAATATTTAAATGATCAAAATTCAAATTAGTTACTGTAATACTTTGCATCACTCCTTAGTGAACTTGTTCAAGCAAATCACCTTAGTTTTGAGTAATCAAGTGTTCGATGAAATGCATTATACAAAATGATGCTCCTTGCTACATCATAGTATTGTTTCCTCCCTTGTGAAAGTTAAGAAGAGGTTCTAAGATAAAACTTGTAAGACTTTATTATCCTTAAACAGGCTAAGTTTTATCAGGAAAACAATTATCAAATATATCAGTCAAGCTGACTGCACACCCTTTCCAAACTACTTTTGAATTTTCCTTGAAAAATGCATATATAGCATCCTATATCCTGATTACAGATTTAACAACAGAAGGTGGTTTATCTAAAGGATCCTTAAGTTCTGTTTTAAAGCACTTTGCAACGAATCCAAACATTTAAACATGGAACATCAAACCCTAAGCCTTTTTGTCTGGATTAGCGGCTAAAGTACTTCTATCGCACAAAGCAGCTAGAATTACTCTAAGAGCAGATGGATTATCATTATTTCTTTATATGATTCTGAAACAAGCTTAAACTCCCTCCTTTCTGGTATGATTTTCGTAGACTTTACCCAGTTATATTTGAAATTCATTTCTCAAATCATTGATTGATTATTTAGTCTCCTCCTAAACATTTCTTTATGCCTTTTTCTAATTCAACTTCCTAGCAAAGTTCTTCTGCAATGCTTCCTTTACATTTTATTACCCAACCATACTAGATTACACCAATTACTAAGGTAAATCTACAGTCTAGGGTCTCTAGTCATTATTAAAATTGTTGATTTCATTTAAAGTATCGCTCATCATATTAAAATCAGCACCCGCGTTTTATTAGGTTTATGGTTTAATCTAATCTAATACCTGTGTCAAGGGATTTTAATTCATCACAGGTGTTAGAGGTCTATCAAGATTATCAGTTTGAAATTGATCTTAATTTTGAATATTTTGAAGATCTGCATTAAGTAATGTCGGATCTACAAAGTCATCACTTTACATTTTTATTTTATGAAAATTAACTTTGAATATAGTATTTCATTTGATTTCAAATATTTCAGCAGCATGGGGTTTTGGGGTTTTGGGG